ATAATAATAATAATAATAATAATAATAATAATAATAGTTGTTGTTGTTGTGATATGAGGTTATTTGAGGTGTTGTATTTTAAAAATATAACGGCATTTTGCCTTCTTGCTTTTTTTTTTTTTTTTTTGCTGCCAGTTATGTAACCGAAGCACCCGGAAATATATGTGCTAATTTTGAATGCATATGCTAATACATGCTAATTTGGAAGAGTTCATTGGCCTTTTCTGCTGCTGCACTACACCGTTGATCCTATTATTGTTATTGTTGCTATTATTATTATTATTATTATTATTATTATTATTATGAATTAAATTATTATTATTATCATCAACTTTATGTATACAGTATATTATTTACTTATTTATGTATTGACTTTGCTTCTATACGGCTGTATCTCAAGCCCGAAGGCGACTCACAGCGGTTCACAAACAGTAGAAACAGTAGAAACAGCAGTGGTTCCATACAACATATAACAATTGACTTAACACATTATCCATAAATTACCAATAAGCAATTACAATGCACAATTATTACAAAAAACAACCGTACCCAATCTTCTCATCATCCAAGCGTAGTCCAGGTTCGTCGTTGTCCCTTGTTCCATTCCTATGTTCCATTACCAGATTGCACTAAATTACTCAAACGCCTGCACAAACATCCAGGTCTTCACCTTTTTGCGGAATACCATTAGAGATGGTGCTAGTCTAATGTCCGTAGGAAGGGCGTTCCACAGCCGAGGAGCCACCACCGAGAAGGCCCTATCTCTCGTCCCCGCCAGCCGAGCTTGAGAAGCAGGCGGGATCGAGAGCAGGGTCTCCCCGGAAGATCTCAAACTCCTGGTGGGTTCATAGGCAGAGATGCGGTCAGATAGGTAGCTTGGGCCGGAACCGTTTAGGGCTTTAAAGGCCAACGCCAGCACTTTGAATTCAGCCCGGTAGCAGATCGGTAGCCAGTGGAGTTGGCGCAACAGGGGGGTTGTATGCTCCCTGTTAAAATCATGGCTGCCGAGCGTTGGACTAGTTGGAGCTTCCGAGCTGTCTTCAAAGGCAACCCCACGTAGAGAGCGTTGCAGTAGTCTAAACGGGATGTAACCAGAGCGTGGACTACCGTGGCCAAGTCAGACTTCCCAAGGTACGGGCGCAGCTGGCGCACAAGCTTTAGCTGTGCAAATGCTCCCCTGGTCACCGCCGAAACCTGGGGTTCCAGGCTCAGCGATGAGTCCAGGGTCACACCCAAGCTGCGAACCTGCGTCTTCAGGGGGAGTGCGGCCCCTTCCATCCAACACAGGCTGTCACCCTATGCCCTGTTCGGCCTTGCGACTGACCAGGAGGACCTCTGTCTTGTCTGGATTCAATTTCAATTTGTTCGCCCTCATCCAGACCGTCACAGCGGCCAAGCACCGGTTCAGGACCTGGACAGCCTCCTTAGTAGTAGGTGGGAAGGAGTGACAGAGTTGGACATCATCCGCGTACAGATGACACCGTACCCCGAAACTCCGGATGATCTCCCCCAGCGGCTTCATGTAGATGTTAAACAACATGGGAGACAATATTGAGCCCTGAAGAACCCCACAAGACAATGGTTGTGGGGTTGAACAGGTGTCCCCCAACAACACCTTCTGAGACCGACCCTCAAGGAATGAGCGGAGCCACTGTAAAACAGTACCTCCAAGACCCATCCCCGCGAGGCGTCCCAGAAGGATACCGTGGTCGACGGTATCGAAGGCCGCTGAGAGGTCCAGCACCAACAGGGACACACTCCCCCTGTCGAGCTCCCGGCGCAGATCATCCACTAAGGCGACCAAGGCTGTCTCGGTACCATGTCCCGGCCTAAAGCCAGACTGTGCCGGGTCTAGATAATCCGTGTCTACCAAGAATACCTGGAGTTGTGAGGCCACCACACGTTACATGACTTTGCCCAAAAAGGGGAGACTGGAAACTGGCCGATAGTTGTCGAATTTAGTGGGGTCCAGTGATGGTTTCTTCAACAGCGGTTTTATTATAGCTTGTTTTAAGCTCGCTGGAATCTTGCCTTCCTGAAGGGAGGCATTAACCACCACCTTCACCCACTCAGCCAATCCCCCTCTATTACTATTACTATTACTATTGTATTATTATTACGGTTTATTATTATTATTATTATTATTATTATTATTATTATTATTTCCCGTAGGTGTTTTCCTGCTCCCGCTGCCCTGAGATGACCCCTTCCTCCAATTATTGTTATTATATATATTAATATTATAGTATATTATTACTATTATATTACTTTATTATTATTATTATTACTATCATTATTCTCTCCTTTAGGTGTTTTCCTGCTCCCGCCACCCTAAAATGACCCCTTCCTCTTCCTATTATTATTACTACTATTACTATGGTATATTTATTATTATTATTATTATTATTATTATTATTATTATTATTATTCGTTCCCTTAGGTGTTTTCCTGCGCCCACCACCCTGAGATGACCCCTTCCTTTTCCTATTATTATTATTACTACTACTATGGTCTATTATTATTATTATTATTATTGTTATTATTATTATTATTTCCCTTAGGTGTCTTCCCGCCGCCCTGAGATGACCCCTTCCTCTTCCTATTATTATTACTAATATTACTACTACTACTACTACTATGGTCTATTATTATTATTATTATTATTATTATTATTACTACTACTACTACTACTACTATGGTCTATTATTATTATTATTATTATTATTATTATTATTATTATTCTTTCCCTTAGGTGTTTTCCTGCTCCCGCCGCCCTGAGATGACCCCTTCCTCTTCCTATTATTATTATTATTACTACTATGGTCTATTATTACTACTACTACTACTACTACTACGGTCTACTACTACTACCATTATTCTTTCTCTTAGGTGTTTTCCTGCTCCCGCCGCCCTGAGACGACCCCTTCCTCTTCCTATTATTATTACTACTACTACTACTACTATGGTTACTACTACTACTACTATTATGATTATTCTTTCCCTTAGGTGTTTTCCTGCTCCCACCGCCCTGAGATGACCCCTTCCTCTTCCTATTATTACTATTACTATTATTATTACTACTACTACTACTACGGTCTACTACTACTACTACTACTATTATTCTTTCCCTTAGGTGTTTTCCTGATCCCGCCGCCCTGAGATGAACCCTTCCTCTTCCTATTATTATTATTATTATTATTATTATTATTATTACTACTACTACTACTACTACTATGGTCTACTACTACTACTCTTTCCCATAGGTGTTTTCCTGCTCCCGCCGACCTGAGATGACCCCTTCCTCTTCCTATTATTATTATTATTATTATTATTATTACTATTATTGCTACTACTACTACTGGTCTACTACTAGTACTACTACTATTATTATTAATCTTTCCCTTAGGTGTTTTCCTGCTCCCGCCACCCTGAGATGACCCCTTCCTCTTCCTATTATTATTATTATTAGTACTACTACTACTACTGGTCTACTACTACTACTACTACTATTCTTTCCCGTAGGTGTTTTCCTGCTCCCGCCGCCCTGAGATGACCCCTTCCTCTTCCTATTATTACTACTACTACTACTGGTCTAATACTACTACTACTACTACTACTATTTTTCCCTTAGGTGTTTTCCTGCTCCTGCCGCCCTGAGATGACCCCTTCCTCTTCCTATTATTATTATTATTATTATTATTATTATTCTTACTGTTATTCTTCTTTCCCGTAGGTGTTTTCCTGCTCCCGCCGCCCTGAGATGACCCCTTCCTCCTCTTCTTCCGGCTGAGGGCTACTGTCCCGGTGCCCCCGGTCCCGCTTCGGCCATGGTCCACCCGGAGGGCAACGCCCTGCTGACGGCGGTCTGGCGCGGTCAGTTCCGCTTGACCCGCCTGCTGCTGGAGGGGGGCGCCTACATCAACGAGGGCAACGCGGGCGGGGAGACGGCCCTGATGGCGGCCTGCGCGGCCCCCTACGCCGACCCCCGCTGCAAGGCCCGCATGGTGCGCTACTTGACCGCCCACGGGGCCGACCCCAACATCCCGGACAAGGCGGGGCGCTCGGCCTTGGTCCACGCCTGCGCCTCGGGGGCCGGGGCCGAGGTGGCCCAAGTCCTGCTGGACCACGGGGCCGACCCCAGCGCCAAGGACTACTCGGGCGCCTCCGCCCTGATCCACGCCCTCCACTACGGCGACCGGGCCACCCTGCAGGTCCTGCTGGACGCTTGCAAGGCCAAAGGTCAAGAGGTCATCATCATCACGACGGACACCTCGCCCTCCGGGACCAAGAAGACCAAGCAGTACTTGAACGCCCCGCCCTCGCCGGCCTTCTGCATGTCGCCCTCGGACATCCGCCTTCGCGGGGTCGAGAAGGACGAAGAGCGGGACGTTTTCAACTTCGACCCCAAGCCGGACGACGCGAAGGTCAGCAAGCCTCGGCCGAAGACGCTGAAGCGGCTCAATTCGGAGCCCTGGGGCCTGGTGGCCCCTTCCGCCCAGGAGCGACTGACCGTCGAGATGAACGGCTTGAGCCTCTCCAAAAGGCCGCCGCTGTCCAGGCGGCACAGCATGGAAGGTCAAGAGGTCAAAGCGGTGGCCGTAGACGACGACGACGAGGAGCCGGACAGCAACGCTTCGGAAGGTTACCCGAGGCCGTCGGAGGGTCACCTGAGGTCAAAGCGAGAGCCAAAGTCCAGCACGTCACCCAGCGGTCATCGCAGGGGCTCCGGGACGGCACTGACCCCAAGCGACCCCTTGTTTGGCCCCGCCCGGCCGGGCTTCCTGCCCCCGCTCCACCTGCCCCCCCACCCCCTGCTCCGGCCCACCAAGGGCCTCTCCCCACTGGCCGCAGCAGCAGCGGTCACTTCCTCCTCTTCCCCCAAGCCCAAGCGGCTACTGCGCCGGCACTCCATGCAGCCCGAGCAGATGAAGCAGCTGGTCAGCTTCCAGGGCCTGGCCGCACAAGCTGACCCCCAGGAAGAGGGCCGCTAAGGCCACTGACCCCGCCTGACCCCGGGCCCCCCCAAAGGTCACCTAGCCTAATAATTATTCAAAATAATAATAGGATCCTATATTATTATTATTATTATTATTATTATTATTATTATTATTATTATTATTGGATCCAAGAGTTGGAAGGGTCCTCCAAAGGTCATCTAGCCCAATGATTCAGAGTCATCATCATCATCATCTTATTATTATTATTATTATTATTATTATTATTATTATTATTATTAATTTTTATTTCTATTATTATTATTATTATTATTATTATTATTATTATTATTATCATCATCATCATCATTATTGGGTCCTAGACTTGGGAGGGCCCTCTGAAGGTCATCTAGCCCAATGATTCGGACTCTGCATCGTATTGTTATTATTATTATTATTACTATTATTATTATTATTGGATCCTAGAGTTGGAAGAGTCCTCCAAAGGTCATCTAGCCCATTGATTCGGACTCTGCATCATATTATTATTATTATTATTATTATTATTATTATTATTATTACTATTATTATTGTTATTATTATTGGATCCTAAAGTTGGAAGGGTCCTCCAAAGGTCATCTGGCCCAATGATTCGGACTCTGCATCATATTATTATTATTATTATTATTACTATTATTATTATTGTTATTATTATTGGATCCTAGAGTTGGAAGGGTCCTCCAAAGGTCATCTAGCCCAATGATTCGGACTCTGCATCGTATTATTATTATTATTATTATTATTATTATTATTATTGTTATTATTATTGGATCCTAGAGTTGGAAGGGTCCTCCAAAGGTCATCTGGCCCAATGTTTCGGACTCTGCATCATATTTTTATTGTTATTATTATTATTATTATTATTATTATAATTGGATCCAAGAGTTGGAAGGGCCTTCCAAAGGTCATCTAGCCCAATGATTCAGAGTCTGCATTATTATTATTGTTATTATTACTGGATCCTAAAGTTGGAAGGACCACCTAGCCCAATTCTTGGGACTCTAAATAATAACAATATAGGATATTGTTATTAATTATTATTTAATTAGTATAGGATCCTAGAGTTGGAAGAGCCCTCCAAAGGTCATCTAGCCCAATGATTCAGGCTCTGTATTATTATTACTATTGTTATTGTTGTTGTTATAGGATATTATTATTATCATTATCATTATCATTATCATTATTATTATTATTATTATTATTATTATTATTATTATTATTGGATCCAAGAGTTGGGAAGGCCCTCCAATGGTCACCCAGTCCAATTATTCAGACATAATAATAATAATAATAATAATAATAATAATAATAATAATAGGAATAATAATAATCCTAGCACTGAAAGGGCCCTCCAAAGATCATCTAGCCCATTTATTCAGAGTCTGCATTATTATTATTATTATTATTATTATTATTATTATTATTAGTAGTAGTAGTAGTAGTAGTATTGGAGCCAAGAGTTGGAAGGGCCCTCCAAAGGACATCTAGTCCAATCATCATCATCATCATCATCATTGGAGTGAAGAGTTGGAAGAGCCCTCCAAAGAACATCTAGTCCTATTATTATTATTGTTGTTGTTGTTGTTGGAGCCAAGTGTTGGAAGGGCCCTCCAAAGGACATCTAGTCCAATCATTATCATCATCATCATCATTATTATTATTGGAGCCAAGTGTTGGAAGGGCCCTCAAAAGGACATCTAGTCCAATCATTATCATCATCATCATCATCATCATCATTATTATTGGAGCCAAGTGTTGGAAGGGCCCTCCAAAGGACATCTAGTCCAATCATTATCATCATCATCACCATCACCATCATCATCATCATCATCATCATCATTGGAGCCAAGTGTTGGAAGGGCCCTCCAAAAGACATCTAGTCCAATAATAATAATAATAATAATAATAGGATCCTACACTTGGGAGGACCCTCCAAATGTCATCTAGCCCTATTATTCTGACAATAATAATAATAATAATAATAATAATAATAATAATAATAATAATAATAGGATCCTAGAGCTGGGAGGGCTCTTCAGAGGTCATCAAGCCCTATTATTCTGACTGACTAATAATAATAATAATAACAATAATAGGCTCCTAGAGTTGGATGGGCCTCCAGAGGTCATCCAGGCCAACTCCGTAGATTTCCATGTAATAAAGTAGGAAGGGAACCCCAAAGGTCATCCATTCTGCCATTCAGACTCTGAATAATAATAATAACAATAATAATAATAATAACAACAACAACAATAATGGAACCCCAGCAGGGCCAAAGTAGGAAGGGAACCCCAAAGGCTATCCAGTCCAACCCCTTTCCTGCTAAGAAGGAAAAGCACAACCCGATCCCTCCCAACAGATGGTCTCCCAGCCTCTGAATAACAATAATAATACTAATAATAGCAGTTGGGAGGGACCCCCAAGGGCCATCCAGTCCAACCCCTTAAAGGAAGACACAATCCAATCCCTCCTGAAAGATGGCCGCCTAACCTCTGCCTAAAGGACTTCCAGGGAAGGCAAGGAAGGGACTACAAAGAAGACGGGAAATCGATACACTTCCTTCCTGCGACTTCCTCTCTACTTCCTTCCTATTTCCCGGAGGCCGGGCAAAGCAATAGACTACGAGACGGCCCTTGGAGCAACACTTGAAGCTTCAGGAAACCCTTCCAGGGACTCGGTCCCATTCTTCCGGAGCCGCTTCCTCCGCGCTTCCTTCCTCCTTCCTTGTTTCCTCTTTTAGCTATTTCTCTTTAGCTTCCTCCTTCACTTCCTCTCCTGCCCTTTTTTATTCTCTTCCTCTCCCTCGTTTCCATCTCTTCCTCTTTAGCTTCCTCCTTCACTTCCTCTCCTGCCTCTTTTCATTCTCTTCCTCTCCCTCGTTTCCATCTCTTCCTCTTTAGCTTCCTCCTTTACTTCCTCTCCTGCCTCTTTTCATTCTCTTCCTCTCCCTCGTTTCCATCTCTTCCTCTTTAGCTTCCTCCTTCACTTCCTCTCCTGCCTCTTTTTGTTCTCTTCCTCTCCCTTGTTTCCATCTCTTCCTCTTTAGCTTCCTCCTTCACTTCCTCTCCTGCCCCTTTTTCTTCTCTTCCTCTCCCTCATTTCCATCTCTTCCTCTTTAGCTTCCTCCTTCGCTTCCTCTCCTGCCCTTTTTTATTCTCTTCCTCTCCCTCGTTTCCATCTCTTCCTCTTTAGCTTCCTCCTTCACTTCCTCTCCTGCCCCTTTTCGTTCTCTTCCTCTCCCTCGTTTCCATCTCTTCCTCTTTAGCTTCCTCCTTTACTTCCTCTCCTGCCTCTTTTCATTCTCTTCCTCTCCCTCATTTCCATCTCTTCCTCTTTAGCTTCCTCCTTCACTTCCTCTCCTGCCCCTTTTCGTTCTCTTCCTCTCCCTTGTTTCCATCTCTTCCTCTTTAGCTTCCTCCTCCACTTCCTCTCCTGCCCCTTTTTGTTCTCTTCCTTTCCCTTGCTTCCATCTCTTCCTCTTTAGCTTCCCCCTCCACTCCTTCTCTACCTCCTCCACTTCCTTTTATTTTTTCCGATTCCACTTCCACTTCCTCCATCACTTCTTTCTCCTCTGCGCCATTTCCTCTTTTCTTCTTCCTCTTCTGCTTCGTCCCCATTTCCACTTCCTTCATCTCCTCTGACTCTTCCTTTTCCCCTTTTCTATTTCTTCCTCCTCCACTTCCTCTTCCTGCTCCTGCATGTCTTTCTCCCCTCCCAATTGCACTTCTAATGCTTCCTCCATCATCTTCCGCCTTCTCTAATTCCTCCCCTACTTCCTTTTCTCTTCCCCCTCCACTTCCTCATTTCCTTTCATCTCCTCTTCCTGTTCTGTTTCTGCCTCTTCGGATTCGTCCTCTAACCCCTTTTCCACATCCTCACTCCACTTCCTCTTCTTCATTTCCCTTTATCGCTTCTTCCTCCTCCATCAAGTCGTAATTCCTCCTCCACTTCCTCCTCCTTTTATCTCTCCTTTCTCTTCTATTTCCTCCTTTGCTTCTTCTCTTCCTTATTTCCTCTCTGCTTCCTCTTCCTCCTCTTCTAATTCCTCCTCCAACTCTACTTCCTCTTCTAGTCTTCCACATCCTCTTCTGTTCCTTCTCCAGTCTTCCACTTCCTTGTTTCATTTTATCTCTTCTTCCTCCTTCACTTTCTTCCTTTTCTGCTCCTACTTCTCATTTCTTTTCTTCCTCTTCTAATTCCTCCCACTTCCGCTTCTCTTTTTCCTCCTGTCTTCCACTTCCTCTTCTTCCACTAAGTCTTCCACTTCATTTCCTTTTATGTTCCACTTCCTCTTCATTCCTTTTCTCTCCTGCTTCCTCCTGCACTTCCTCTTCTTCCTCCAGTCTTCCACTTCCTCTTCTTACTCTAAGTCTTCCACTGCCTCATTTCCTTTTATCTGTTCCACTTCCTCTTCATTCCTTTTATCTCTCCTGCTTCCTCCTGCACTTCCTCTTCTCCCTCCAGTCTTCCACTTCCTCTTCTTCCTCTAAGTCTTCTGCTTCTTTTCCTTTTATGTTCCACTTCCTCTTCATTCCTTTTATCTCTCCTGCTTCCTCCTGCACTTCTTCCTCCAGTCTTCCACTTCCTCCTCTAGTTTTCCACTTCATTTCTTTTATCTCTTCCACTTCCTCTTCCAGTCTTTTACTTCCCCTTCTGCTTCATTTCCCCTTTTCTTTTCTGTTTCTTCCTCCACTTCCTCTAATCTTTCTCCTCCAGTCTTCCGCTTCTTCCACCAGTCTTCCACTTTATTTCCTCTTTAATCTCTTCCACTTCCTCCTCCACTTCCTCTTCCAGACGCCGCAAGAAGCACAACAAGCAAAAACGCACAACTGTTTCCCGGAAGTTTCTAGCTTTTTTTTTTCTTTCCCATAGATATGGAATTATATAGATATAATATATAATATATATTATCAATACAAACAAACAAAAATGATTGGCTTGCGTCTGTGTCCTTTCTAATAATAATAATAATAATAATAATAATAATATTAGGTTCTAATAATATATATTAACAATAATAGAGGAAAAATAGATTCCAGCATAATAGTAATAATGATATAAATTAGCAACACACTAATAATAATAATAGCAATAATATAAAATTATAATAATAACAGAGGGGAAATTATACAATATGTTATTTTTCATAATAATAATGATGCAAATAAGCTTTTAATAATAGCAATAAAATAAAAATAATAGTAATAATAATGGAAAATTATATAATAATATTCTATCATGATGATCTATTATTATTTTATATTGTTGCTATTATTAAATTACTATTTACTAATATTTTATATTATTGCTATTATATTACTATTTTATATTATTTCTATTATTATATTAGTTTCTTACTATTATTATATATTCTTGGTATTATTATATTACTATTTCTTCTTATTATTTTAATTATTGCTATTATATTACTATTATTTTATATTCTTGCTATTATATTACTATTTTTACTATTATTATATTACTATTTCTTACTATTATTTTATATTCTTGCTATTATTATATTACTATTTACTATTATTTTATATTGTTGCTATTATATTATTATTTCATACTATTATTTTATATTATTGCTATTATATTATTTCATACTATTATTTTATATTGTTGCTATTATATTACTATTTCATACTATTATTTTATATTATAGCTATTATTATATTACTATTTCATACTATTATTTTATATTATAGCTATTATTATACTATTATTTCATACTATTATTATATATTCTTGGTATTATTATATTACTATTTCTTATTATTATTTTAATTATTGCTATTATATTACTATTATTTTATATTATTGCTATTATTATATTACTATTTCTTACTATATTATTGCTATTATTACATTACTATTTCTTACTATTATATATCATCATCATAATTATTTATTCTTATCTATTTTCTCATCCAAAAATACACCAAAAGGAGGGAAAATGTGACTAATATAATTATATTATATAATTATATAACATTATATTTTATAATTATATATATAATTATATAATATTTTATATTCAGATACACTCACACACACACATATATAAATAATTTTAGGATGCTAGGGTTGTCAACTTTGAGTATGTTGGATGGATTGTAACTGAATTTTCAAGATATTGCTTGTATTTACGTAGTCCTGCCTTTATGTCTAACTACAGCTCCCATCGTGCCAGGCTATCCCCGAGAAACTCCATCAGTCCTTAAAGTGTGTAATGTTGGGCAAGTCTGCTCTCGATGCATCGTGGGTGGGGTTCAGTGTGCTTTCTGGCTGTGGGGTGAACTACAACTCCCAATATGGCGAGTCATCCCTCTCAAACCCCTCCGGTAGGTCGTGTTAGTCCTGGGGGTTCTGTGTGCCAAGTTTGGTCCAGGTCCATCATTGGTGGAGGTCACATTTTCTCTGGTTGTGGGTGAACTACAACTCCCAGAAAGTAAGGTCAGTTTCCCCCAAACCCCTCCAGTAATCAAATTTTGGCATATCAGGTATGTGTGCCAAGTTTGGTCCAATCTGAACGTATCAGGTCTGTGTGCCAAGTTGGGTCCAGGTCCATCATTGGTGGAGGTCACAATTTCTCTGGATGTGGGTGAACTACAACTCCCAGAAAGGTTGTGGGTGAACTACAACTCCCAGAAAGGAAGGTCAGTTCCCCCCAAACCCCTCCAATAATCAAATTTCAACATATCAGGTCTGTGTGCCAAGTTTGGTCCAGGTCCATCATCGGTGGAAGTCACAGTTTTCTCTGGATGTGAGTGAACTACAACTCCCAGAAAGGAAGGTCAGTTCCCCCAAAACCCTCCAGTAATCAAATTTCAACATATCAGGTCTGTGTGCCAAGTTTGGTCCAGGTCCCTCATTGGTGGAGGTCACATTTTCTCTGGTTGTGGGTTAACTACAACTCCCAGAAAGGTTGTGGGTGAACTACAACTCCCAGAAAGGAAGGTCAGTTCTCCCCCAAACCCCTCCAGTCATCAAATTCGGCATATCAGGTCTGTGTGGCAAGTTTGGTCCAGCTCCTTCGGTGTTTGGGTTCACGGTGCTCTTAAATTGCAGGTGAACTATACATCCCACTGCCTACAACTCCAAAATGTCCGGGCCAATTCCCCTCATAACCCACCAGTATTCAAATGTGGACATATCGGGTATACATGCCACGTTTGGTCCAGATCCATCAGTGTTTGGGTTCAGAGTGCTCTCTGAGTGTAGGTGAACTACAACTCCCCCAAATCAAGGTATATTTCCCCCAAAGACCTCCAGTATTTTTTTTGCTAGACATGGGAGCTCTGGGTACCAAGTTTGGTCCAATTCTATCTTTGGTGGAGTCCAGAGTGCTCATTGATTGAAGGTGAACTATAAATCCCAGTACCTACAACTCCCAAATGTCCAGGCCAATTCCCCTCAATACCCACCAGTATTTTTTTCTTGATCAAGGGGCATCTGTGTGGCAAGTACCAGGTCCATCGTTCGAGTTCAGGTGAACTAGACATCCCAGTACCTACAGCTCCAAAATGACCGGGCCAATTTCCCTCAAATCCCACCAGTATTCAAACATGGGCATATTGGGTATCCATCATTGTTTGGGTTCATTGGGATGTAGGTGAACTACAACTCCCATAAATCCCTCCAGTATGTTTAGTTGGTCATGGGGGCTCTGGGTACCAAGTTAGTTCCAGCTCTATCATTGGTGGAGTTCAGCGTGCTCTTAGATTGCAGGTGAACTATAAATCCCAGGATCTACAACTCCTATAAATCATAGCAAATACTCCCCAAACCTCTCTAGTATGTTCAGTTGCTGATCAATTCCATAGAAAAGGACAGGAAAAGTTAAAGGAGAGGGAGTGGGCGGGGCTATGCAAATTCCACACCAATGGAGAGAGAAAGGAACACCGGGATGCCTCTCTTGTCTCAAGTCGTTGCTGATCCATTCCATAGAAAAGGATAGGAAAAGTTAAAGGAGAGGGAGTGGGCAGGGCTATGCAAATTCCACAGCAACAGAGAGAGAAAGGAACACTGGGATGCCTCTCTTGTCTCGCGTCGTTGTTGATCGATTCCATAGAAAAGGATAGGAAAAGTTAAAGGAGAGGGAGTGGGCGGGGCTATGCAAATTGCACACCAATGGAGAGAGAAAGGAACACTGGGATGCCTCTCTCGCCTCAAGTCGTTGCTGATCCATTCCATAGAAAAGGATAGGAAAAGTTAAGAGTGGGAGTGGGCGGGGCTATGCAAATTCCACATCAATGGAGAGAGAAAGGAACACTGGGATGCCTCTCTCTCTCTCATCTCTTTGAAAAAGCAAACAGTGAAGCGCGTTCCTTCAAACCAAAACAAACCCATTGCGCCTTTATTCCATCATCAAAGATCCAGAAGACGTGGGATACAAAACAACACAACAATAACAAATACGAAACAACCGCCGTGTGGGATTTCAACGGGAAGGTCAGCGTCTTCTCCGGTCGGGGCTCCGGCTCCGTCTGCGGCCGCCTCTGGAAAGGAAAGAGGCAAAGAAGAGAGCCGGTCAAACGCCTGCGTTACTCCCTACAAAGCAGGCGAAATCGGTGGGGGATATAACAACAACAACAACAACAACAACAATAACAGGAGTGCAAACAGGCCCTTTGGACTCCTTCCCAGGCCGAAGCTGAGAACATGTAATAAGAGAAAATAATAACAACAATAATAGTAGTAATAATAATAAGAATACAAAGCAGGTGAAACTGGTGAGGAATATAACAACAACAACAACAACAACAATAACAGGAGTGCAAACAGGCCCTTTGGACTCTTTCCCAGGCCGAAGCTGAGAATATGTAATAAGAGAAAATAATAACAACAATAATAGTAGTAATAATAATAATAAGAATACAAAGCAAGTGAAACCGGTGGGGAATATAACAACAACAACAACAACAACCAGAGTGTAAACAGGCCCTTTGGACTCCTTCCCAGGCAAAAGCTGAGAATATATAATAAAGAGAAAACAATAACAGTAATAATAGTAATAATAAGAATAAGAATAAGAATACAAAGCAGGTGAAACTGTTGGGGAATATAACAATAACAACAACAACCGGAGTGCAAACAGGCCCTTTGGATTCCTTCCCAGGCCGAAGCTGAGAATATTTAATAAGAGAAAATAATAACAACAATAATAGTAGTAATAATAATAAGAATACAAAGCAGGTGAAACTGGTGAGGAATATAACAACAACAACAACAACAACCAGAGTGCAAACAGGCCCTTTGGACTCTTTCCCAGGCCAAAGCTGAGAATATATAATAAGAGAAAATAATAACAGTACTAGTAGTAGTAATAATAATAGTAATAATAAAAATAAGAATACAAAGCAGGTGAAACTGGTGAGGAATATAACAACAACAACAACAAGAGTGCAAACAGGCCCTTTGGACCCCTTCCCAGGCCAAAGTTGAGAATATATAATAAGAGAAAATAATAACAACAATAATAGTAATAATAAGAATAAGAATACAAAGCAGGTGAAACTGGTGGGGAATATAATAACAACAACAACAACAGGAGTGCAAACAGGCCCTTTGGACTCCTTCCCAGGCCAAAGCTGAGAATATATAATAAGAGAAAATAATAACTGTAGTACTAGTAGTAGCAGTAATAATAACAGTATTAGTAGTAATAATAATAATAACAATAATAGTAATAATAATGATAAGAATACAAAGCAGGTGAAACCGGTGGGGAATATAACAACAACAACAAGATTGCAAACAGGTCCTTTGGACTCCTTCCCAGGCCAAAGCGGAGAATATATAATAAGAGAAAATACTAATAGTAGTAATAATAATGATAGTAGTAGTAGTAATAATAATAATGAAATAATACAAAGCAGGAGAAACTGGTGGGGAATATATCAACAATAACAACAACAAGAGTGCAAACAGGCCGTTTGGACTCCTTCCCAGGCCAAAGCTTGGAATATATATAATAATATAGAATATAATTATATTATATAATATATAATAAGATAAAATAATAGTAGTAGTAGTAGTAGTAGTAATAATAATACAAAGCAGGTGAAATTGGAGGGGAATATAACAACAACAACAACAACAACAACAACAACAACAAGAGTGCAAACAGGCCCTTTGGACTCCTTCCCAGGCCAAAGCTGAGAATATATAATAAGAGAAAATACTAATAGTAGTAGTAATAATAATAATGAAATGATAATACAAAGCAAGTGAAATTGGTGGGGAATATAACAATAAAAACAAGAGTGCAAACAGGCCCTTTGGACTCCTTCCCAGGCCAAAGCTTGGAATATATATAATAATATAGAATATAATTATATTATATATAATATATAATAAGATAAAATAATAGTAGTAGTAGTAGTAGTAATAATAATAATACAAAGCAGGTGAAATTGATGGGGAATATAACAACAACAACAACAACAAGAGTGCAAACAGGCCCTTTGGACTCCTTCCCAGGCCAAAGCTGAGAATATATAATAAGAGAAAATACTAATAGTAGTAGTAATAATAATAATGAAATGATAATACAAAGCAAGTGAAATTGGTGGGGAATATAACAACAACAAGAGTGCAAACAGGCCGTTTGGACTCCTTCCCAGGCCAAAGCTTGGAATATATATAATAATATAGAATATAATTATATTATATATAATATATAATAAGATAAAATAATAGTAGTAGTAGTAGTAATAATAATAATACAAAGCAGGTGAAATTGATGGGGAATATAACAACAACAACAACAACAAGAGTGCAAACAGGCCCCTTGGACTCCTTCCCAGGCCAAAGCTTGGAATATATATAATAATATAGAATATAATTATATTATATATAATATCTAATAAGATAAAATAATAGTAGTAGTAGCAGTAGTAGTAATAATAATAATACAAAGCAGGTGAAATTGATGGGGAATATAACAACAACAACAACAACAGCAAGAGTGCAAACAGGCCCTTTGGACTCCTTCCCAGGCCAAAGCTGAGAATATATAATAAGAGAAAATACTAATAGTAGTAGTAATAATAATAATGAAATGATAATACAAAGCAAGTGAAATTGGTGGGGAATATAACAATAAAAACAAGAGTGCAAACAGGCCCTTTGGACTCCTTCCCAGGCCAAAGCTTGGAATATATATAATAATATAGAATATAATTATATTATATATAATATATAATAAGATAAAATAATAGTAGTAGTAGTAGTAATAATAATAATACAAAGCAGGTGAAATTGGTGGGGAATATAACAACAACAACAACAAAAACAACAACAACAAGAGTGCAAACAGGCCCTTTGGACTCCTTCCCAGGCCAAAGCTGAGAATATATAATAAGAGAAAATACTAATAGTAGTAGTAATAATAATAATGAAATGATAATACAAAGCAAGTGAAATTGGTGGGGAATATAACAATAAAAACAAGAGTGCAAACAGGCCCTTTGGACTCCTTCCCAGGCCAAAGCTTGGAATATATATAATAATATAGAATATAATTATATTATATATAATATATAATAAGATAAAATAATAGTAGTAGTAGTAGTAGTAATAATAATAATACAAAGCAGGTGAAATTGATGGGGAATATAACAACAACAACAACAACAAGAGTGCAAACAGGCCCTTTGGACTCCTTCCCAGGCCAAAGCTGAGAATATATAATAAGAGAAAATACTAATAGTAGTAGTAATAATAATAATGAAATGATAATACAAAGCAAGTGAAATTGGTGGGGAATATAACAACAACAAGAGTGCAAACAGGCCGTTTGGACTCCTTCCCAGGCCAAAGCTTGGAATATATATAATAATATAGAATATAATTATATTATATATAATATATAATAAGATAAAATAATAATAGTAGTAGTAGTAATAATAATAATACAAAGCAGGTGAAATTGGAGGGGAATATAACAACAACAACAACAACAACAACAATAACAGGAGTGCAAACAGGCCCTTTGGACTCCTTCCCAGGCCGAAGCTGAGAATATTTAATAAGAGAAAATAATAACAACAATAATAGTAGTAATAATAATAAGAATACAAAGCAGGTGAAACTGGTGAGGAATATAACAACAACAACAACAACAACCAGAGTGCAAACAGGCCCTTTGGACTCCTTCCCAGGCCAAAGCTGAGAATATATAATAAGAGAAAATACTAATAGTAGTAGTAATAATAATAATGAAATGATAATACAAAGTGAGTACGCTAATCCTAATCGCATCAAAAAGCAGGTATTGATGTGGGAATATAAAAACAACAACAACAACAAGAGTGCAAACAGGCCCTTTGGACTCCTTCCCAGGCCAAAGCTGAGAATATATAATAAGAGAAAATACTAATAGTAGTAGTAATAATAATAATGAAATGATAATACAAAGCAAGTGAAATTGGTGGGGAATATAACAATAAAAACAAGAGTGCAAACAGGCCCTTTGGACTCCTTCCCAGGCCAAAGCTTGGAATATATATAATAATATAGAATATAATTATATTATATATAATATCTAATAAGATAAAATAATAGTAGTAGTAGTAGTAGTAGTAATAATAATAATACAAAGCAGGTGAAATTGATGGGGAATATAACAACAACAACAACAACAAGAGTGCAAACAGGCCCTTTGGACTCCTTCCCAGGCCAAAGCTGAGAATATATAATAAGAGAAAATACTAATAGTAGTAGTAATAATAATAATGAAATGATAATACAAAGCAAGTGAAATTGGTGGGGAATATAACAACAACAAGAGTGCAAACAGGCCGTTTGGACTCCTTCCCAGGCCAAAGCTTGGAATATATATAATAATATAGAATATAATTATATTATATATAATATATAATAAGATAAAATAATAATAGTAGTAGTAGTAATAATAATAATACAAAGCAGGTGAAATTGGAGGGGAATATAACAACAACAACAACAACAAGAGTGCAAACAGGCCCTTTGGACTCCTTCCCAGGCCAAAGCTTGGAATATATATAATAATATAGAATATAATTATATTATATATAATATATAATAAGATAAAATAATAGTAGTAGTAGTAGTAGTAGTAGTAATAATAATAATACAAAGCAGGTGAAATTGATGGGGAATATAACAACAACAACAACAACAAGAGTGCAAACAGGCCCTTTGGACTCCTACCCAGGCCAAAGCTGAGAATAGATAATAAGAGAAAATACTAATAGTAGTAGTAATAATAATAATGAAATGATAATACAAAGCAAGTGAAATTGGTGGGGAATATAACAATAAAAACAAGAGTGCAAACAGGCCCTTTGGACTCCTTCCCAGGCCAAAGCTTGGAATATATATAATAATATAGAATATAATTATATTATATATAATATATAATAAGATAAAATAATAGTAGTAGTAGCAGTAGTAGTAATAATAATACAAAGCAGGTGAAATTGGAGGGGAATATAACAACAACAACAACAACAGC